CTATGAGTTCTGCTTCTTAGGTGAATCAGTTTCCTTCTCTGCCTCCTTACTGCCATCAAGGATAACAGCAGCCACCTGGACCACTGCAGGACCTCCCATCAGGTCTCCTTTCAGCCACCCTTCAATCTCTTCTCTATAGTTTTTTGCAGTTTGTTCAATCAATATTTATTGAGTGCCTATTATGTGTCAGGCTCACTTCCTGGTACTGGAGATAAATCAGTGAACAGAACAAATAGTCTGAAAATCCCTGAGCTTAAACTCTGGTACACGTGTGGGGTAAATGCAGCAAGGCAATAAACCATAAACAGGTAGTAGAATATGCTAGAAGGTCTTAAGTGCTATAGGAAAAAGCAAAATATAAAAGGAGTAGAATAAAGGGCGTCTGAAGTGCTGCAGCCATTGCACATTTAGTTAGGATGGTCAGGATAAACCTTGCAAAGGAGAGATTTGAACACTCAAACAGCATGGCTGCAGCAGAGCTGGCAGGAAGACAAAGAGTAGTAGAGTAGGAGATGAAGCCAAAGAGCTTAAAGGCTCTGTGAAGAATTGAGGAACCACTGCAGAGTTTTGAGCAAGAATGTGACTTTTACTTTAAAAAATCGTTGCAGCAGCAGGGTTGATGATAGGATACAGAGGGCCAGGGTGAGCCTGGGGGGCATGTCCCAAAGCACTGATGGTGACCACGATCCAGGCTGGAGATGATAGGGGCTCAGAGGAAGAAGAATGGCCATGGCAGAAGCCAAAGTGGTCAGATATATTTTAGTATAGTCTTTTGTTTTGTGTGTACTTGTGTTTTATTATTATATGCTATATATAGTATTACTATTGATATTATAATAATATGCTATATTTTGCTTATATCTTTTAAAGGTAAAGTCAACAAGATTTCCAGACACCGGGGTCTTAGGTGTGAAAGAAAGAGAGGATCAAGGATGACTCCAAGGTCATCCTCAGAAGGATAGAGTTGCCTGCAACCAAGGAAACCTCTGGAAGGAGCTTGCATTTGGACATGTGGAGTCACACTGCCCTGGGACTTCTTTGTAAAAGCTGCTCTTGTCATGCTTGCCTATTCATTTGTTTTCCTTGGACCTTCTCTGACTGACCATGATAATGACTGAGATCTTTAGCATGACCCATATAAGGCTCTGCATTGGGTCCCTGCCACTCCTCTCACTCTGGTGGACAGGCTCCCTTTGGGCTCAGTTCTTGCACCCCATTGGCTGCCCTCTAACTTCTACCTGGAATTCTCCTCCATCCTCTGCTCCTGCTGCTCATTCTTCATGTCAATTAAATCTGGAATAAGCTTCGACTCTCATCTCAGATCCACTACTTTAAGAAAACCTTCAGGATTCCTCATAGGCCCTCTCGTAGTACCCTAAATTTGTCTCCTGCAATTATATAGTTGCATGATTATTTGGTTCATGTTCTTCTTCCCAAGAGACTGTAACCTCCTGTGCCAGGCGGCACATTAACTAAATGCTTAGTTAATATGTGTTGAATGGATGATGGTTTACTACCCACCTAAAAGAGAACACTAGCTTATAAATTTACTCTTCTTCAGAGTCTTTGCATAATTCTAGTATAAAGAATATTAAACTAGAAAAAATACCAAGGAAATAATGCATCACCATTTATAATATCAATTTCTAATATCATTCAAAGTTCATCAAGGAGACCAAATCATGCATGATTCCTTTCCTGTAGAATATGACACTCCTCACCTGATTTCTGGCTCTCTTCAGATACCACAGTGAATTGCAAACTTACATTGTCCATATTCTTGAAGAGGGGCTGTCATGTGACTTTTTGGTCACTAAAATATTAGACATCAATTCCAGGCAGCAGCCTTTGGAAACTGGGTTGCAACCCTCTGGCTCTAACCACCTGTTTTAGTTTTCTGTGGCTTCTATCTGAAATTACCAAACTGAGTGGCTTACAACTAAAAGAAATATATTCTGTCATGGGTCTGGAGGCCAGAAGTCCAAAACAAGGCTGTGCTCCCTGTGCAGAATTCTCCCTCTCTCTTTCAGGTTCCGATGGTTGCTTGCAATCTGTGGTGGTCTTTGACTTGTACATCCCCCCAATCCCTGCCTCCATCTTCATATGACATTCTCCTCTCTGTGTGTGTCCAAATCTCCCTCCCCTTTCTCTTATAAAGACACCTGCCATTGAATTGAACCCATTCTAATCCAGGATTATCACCTCATCTTCAGCTGGTTATATACAAAGACCCTGATTCCAAATAATGTCAAATTTATGAATTTGAGGGGTTAAGACTTGAAAATAGCTTTCTGGGGGACACAGTTTAACCTGCTACATCATCCTACACGGGCAATATTGATCATCAAGTATTTACTCAGTGCCTGTCATTGTGCTGTGTGCCAAGAAGAAGTATAGAAAATGAGACAAGATCCTAACCACAAGAAGGATACAATGTAATCTGGTGGGCCAGACAGAAAAGACCTCTATTGCCTTGGCTGAAATTGTCAGAGGAGACCAAATAATAAGACCTAATTAGAGGTAATGCTACCAGGGCTCACAGTCTATTCCAGTCACTGCACTGAGCATTTTGCAGGTATTACTCCCTTTAAATCCCACAAAGGTTGTGCCTATGAGCTTGGTATTTTATATGCATTTTATAGGACAGGAAACAGAGGATTAAAAAGGTTGAGAATTTGCCCAGCAGTCACATGTTCAGCCTGACTCACAAACATGGGGTTCTATGGACTCTCCTATATGGCACCTTCAAGTGAGCTGAGCCTTGATAGTCTACTAGAAGTATAGGCGTCTACGCTCTGAAACAGAAGATTTGGTTCACCCCACGCGGTTAGGCCTGGGCTGAACTGATCACAGTGTGGCAATATCAATTATCTATAAAATTGCATAAATGACTCCATTTCTATTTCATTGCTGGTAGGCTGGCCTTCCTACCTAACTTATTCTTATAAACTAATCCAACCCCATTCTTTCATCTCTCCTTTTATAACAATTGAAGTCAGACTTTAATTTTCTATCTTGGCCCCAGATGCACATACGTCATATCAATAGTCTTCATTTCTGGTCTAAAGCATTAAAACAATTAAAGTTCCCAAAAGAAACAACATGAAACCAAACCAAACCCTATTTTCAAGTGCTTCCAACTTGTTTCAAAACAGACTTATGAGGATTGTTTTCCAAATAGTCGTGTGTGAAGCCAGCCACTTTTGAAATCTGACTTTTCCTATGTAGACATATCACATTTTCTATGCTTGGAGAAGCAGGGAATGCCCAAGCTGGCATGCCATAGTACTGAATACGAAATAGACCATTAAAAAAAAAAAGAAGTCATAGGAATGTTAAAATCCATGTTGACTGGTTTTTGCATTTACCCGGCAGCATTCCCGTGCTAGCGTTGGCATGGAGACTGGAAAAGGGAACTTTCCACAAGTCTGTCACTTGCTACTGTTTCCACTTATTCTACTGTAAGCCCAATTTTAACAAATTTTTAAAAGTTAAAAATGAGTCTGATTTCTTTTGTGTTTTCTTTCTCAGGACATTTCTCGAACATGAGAATACTTGTGAAAAGGGCTTAAGAAACCAGCCAAAGATTTGGGTTTCCAAATATTCAGCTGTTTAACATTCAGATAATTGGCTGGCTTTCTCCCCCATATTTTGTCTGAATGCTTTGGCATGGGGGAGCCCCACAGTCTGAGAGTAACTTGGTCTCAGTTCTCCTTACTGCATTTATTAAGGAGGCTGGAAGACACATCTGCTTTTCAACAGCTCAGGGCTCTTAAGGAACTAGGAAGCTAGAGGCTATTCAGGAAGAAATTTGGGCTTCTCAAAACGTCAGTGCAAGCAAGTTTGATGTGGCCACACGTAGGTATTCTTGAAATCACTTCTGTTGAGGAAAACAAGCTGAGATTCTTGGAGCCACACTAGGGTGAGAAATGGAGGGCAAATTTGTCACTTGTCCTTTCATGGGGTGCCTGGAACCCAGGAGACCCTCAATTCGTGTTTACATCAATGAACAGATCACAGTTGCACTCTATCGCATCTATAAGACAGAATGGTGATTTTCTCTGGGCTGGAAAGTTAACGAGAGAGCTGTCCACTTAAGCTTAAGGGGCCGCAGGCTGGCACACGCTGGCCTTCTCATTTCCCTCTGGCTTCCTCCTGCAGTGCTCCGCCTGAAGCTGGGATGATGCTGACGAGGGGAGGAAATACATGTGAGGAAAATCAGAGAGGAGAGGGTCAGGAACAGATGTGAGCTTAAAGAGAAGGCATTTGAAATGAAAGAAACAAACAGGACTCCCACAGCTGGGAGGACAGACCCCCGCATGTCGTCAGGGCGGGGGATTAGGGATGATTTTGCCCTTCCTTTGTTCTTCCCCCTGCCTTCCACGTTCCCAGTTCACATCTGATGTCTGTCTTTTCTACTAAGTTATTCGACCATGAGGACAGAGCTTATGGCAGACCTGGCATACAGCGGGCACTGGATATACACTTCGGAACAAACGAACCCATGCAGGGGCCACTGTATGCCCCCCGGACCCCCTATTTGTCCGCGGCTCTGGGCACGTAGCAGGCGCCCCCTAAACATCTGTAGAGCAAATGATCTGGAAGTTTTCGGCGCCGAGCACGTGAAGCTCTGGAAACCAGGACAGCAAATGAGTGTCTCTGAGACCACAAAAGCGATTCAGGCGCGTGCGAAAGGCAGCGCCGGGCGACCGCGGAGAGAATGGCACGGAGAGGGGCGCCCCGCGGGGGGCGCTGCCTGCGTGGCGCTGCCCGAGGCGGGGGCGCCGGGAGCCGCGCGCCGGCACGTGCTCGTCTCGGAGCCGGCCGGGCCGGGGCGGGCGCGCGTGTGCGCGTGGGGCGTGGGGTGTGTGCCCGCGCCGTGCCCCCCGCGCGTGCCGCCGGGCGGGCGCCGATGTGAGTCACGGCGGGGCTCGCCTTTATAACGGCCGGAGGCTCGCGGGAGCCGCGCACGCCCGCACGCCCGCCCTCCGCTCCGCGCTTAGGCGAGCGCTCCCGGTCCCCGCGCCCCCAGCCGGCCCCAACGGCCGCCCAGTCCCGCGGGCGCCATGAGGAGCCCGCGCCGCGCCCCGCTCCTGCTGCTGCTGCTGCTGCCACTGCTGCTGCTCACACCCCGCTCCGGGGACGCCGCGGTGATCACTGGGGTAAGCGGCCCGAGCGCACCTGTCCGCCCGGGATGCGCGCTCGGGATGCGCCCGGGAAGGCTGGGGACCCGGACGGTGAAGGGGCGGAAAGGGACACGGGAGGGTCGCCCCGGGCCAGGACACTTGCCTCGGTCGCACTCGGGAAAGTGCCCTGCTCCAAAAGCAGCAGACACTGGGGATACTGGGAACGTCCTAGAAGAAAAAGTGACAGGAGTGTCACCTCGCCACCCTTATCACCATCTTCTCTCGCTTACTTTCTTTTCATCACTCAACAGCCTCGCTGCTCCTATTTGCTCTGTTTTTCTGTTACACTTAAGGAAGTTTCAGTCTTCTCAAGGGCTTTTGGAGGCGTGCCAGCCTCGAACCTTGACATTGACGGCCCCTTGCAGAAACGCACTGGAGCAGGGCGAGTACCCTCCAAGTCCTGCGGGCTTAATCCTGCATTCAAGGAGTCTGCTCCCCAGGAGTCCTGCGGAAACCCTTTGAAATACTTGGTCGGGGCCATGTGTGCTTTGAAAAGCAATTGGCACTTCCTTCTGGTTGGGACTTTTTTACCCCCTTAGCGTCCTGAGGTTCTTCTTGTAAAAGTTTTTCATTTCTGACCGCTGAATAAAGCACCTTCAGGGCTCTGCAGCATCACGAAGTAGGTTGCCATGTAGATGTTATTTAAACTTAGAGAAGACGTCTTCATCGTGTTTGTAAGTAGGAACTAGTTCATTTCTCTCCTACTCCCAACAAGTTTCTTTGTGTGGATATGAAGAATGAGTTTACAATACAAAATTTAAAAATCTAGTGTAGTTTACATCAACAATGCAAAACCACTACCATTTCTGAGTCATTCAACTGCTTTACTCTTTTTTTATAGGGCAGAATTATTTTACACTTCATTAAATTACTTCAAATATCTAAGTCTGCATTATAGGATTTAAATAAAACACCTATATTTGAAATTATGATACACAGTGCAATAAAATTTAACTTTAAAGGAAATGTCATTCTCTTGAGCAAATAAAGCTCTATTGTTTTATACTAATTAATGGGTTTATAGCATTTTGGAAGTCCTTGTGCTGTGGCGGCATTTGGTTATATACAATAGATATTTAATTACAAGCTTTGCTGTATTTATTAGAATAGAGAATATTTTTAAAAATCGCTTCCATGGCTTTGTCAGTAGCTAGTCCTGAGTGGTTAGGGGAAAAGTTTTTACAGAGAATTGAAACATGATTGCATTTTTTCCCTTCTTCCCCTGCTGGTTCATTTTAGATTTCTCCTAATCCTCTCAGCCCAAGATTCTTTTGCAATATAAGTATCTTTTTGTTCCATTCACATGGCAACACTATTTGAATAGCTCCACAATGGGCGAAGGATGAAGGCTATTAGGAAACAACCGTCTAATTAAAAATACATAAAGCCATACAATTCTTTGTAAATTTTCCAAGAACTGAAGCTTTTTGTTACAAAATGAAATTTTATCACATCATGTTTATCTGTTAGAGAGGTTTAGACTGGGTTTATCATACATGCCCAGTTAGGTGTGCTATTTTTGTTGTGTTAACTCAGTGTTACAAAATGAGAATTAAAACATGTTCTCTAAAGCAACATGGTCATAAAACATAGTTACATCATATGACAAGAACCACCTGGACTCAAATGAAAACCTCAGTAACTTATCTAGATATATTGTGTATAGGATATTAAAAATCCAGGTTATTGAATTTTAAAAGATTTTGGCTGTATTTTTGATGTCTTATTAAAAGAGTTAGTAGGACCTTGGAATTCGGGGTATTGATCATCTGTTGAAATAAAATACTGGCTAAAACTTCCACATTAAAAATATATATATATATGTGTGTGTGTAACATATGTAGATATTTTGAAATCAATTTATATATCCATATAGATTTGTTAAAACCCTTAGAAACGATCATAAACTGGAGATCTCATTTATGGAATATAATGGCCACATCATATACTTGATTTCTGGCATACCAGTAGAAATTGGAAAATGGAAATGTTTAGATATTATTCTATAAAATCCCAAAACCCCAAAGTAAAAATTGCAGTTTTTATCCAGATACTTATTTTAACTGACTACAAAGAAAAAAAAAAAAACTTAATGGAGGAAATAGATGAACTCCAAAGCAAGATAGTTGGTCATCTTTAATGAAAAATAATGATGAAAAATGTGCCATATATTTCTGTTTTGAAAGTTATGGCTGTTTCCCAAACTGAGAAATGAAGGACTGTTTTAATTGTTTCTAATAAGTGTACATTTAAATTTGTGCCTAAATGACAGACTTTTTAGTTCTCACATACATGGAATGTTTTTACCTTATCACTAGTGAAACAGATCACTGCATACTGTTAAAGCATTCTACTTTTTGTTGGTTCTAGGAAAGAGTAATAGTTCTTCAGACCTATTTGCATGCAAATAAATTTAGACTTATTATTTATTTCCATTCAGTTGAGTGCAGAAATTCCTCCATAGTTGATTCTTTGATTATATCCATTTACAAATTTTATATTTGGAAGCAGGTGCTTTGATAATTGCATCTGTCACATTTCTCAATCAGACAGATTTTACAGGAAAGTTCACTTGATTTTGTAATGTACACGTTTCTATATCCTAAGCCAATAGTATCCTTTTGTGGGTTATTTACCTGAAAAAAAGGGGAACATAAGGCAAAAGTCTTCATCCATCTGTTCTCAACCTATAAGATTTCTTTAAAAAAAAAAAAAAAAAGGAAATGGTGAAATCAAATCAGTGGTGTGAGAAACATCAAGTCTCATGAACCAAAATGCAAATTTTAGAAAAGGGAAATGAATACTTCTAAAACTTACATCAGTGCCTTTATGGGTCTGGAGTGTTTCATGCCAGATTTAGAGACCATTTAAATATCTTTTTAAAATTGTGCCCAGTGTATTCTGCAGCTAATAGTCATAAAATCTTGTGATTCAATTTATGTAGTTCCTAATGGCTATGTATAAGACTAATATTCTTTATGTTCAAAGCCAGATCAACCACAAAGGACTAGAAAAAGAGAGCTGTTTTTTTAATCTTTTTTTTTGAGATTTTCATAATCCAAGGGCTATTATTTTGTTCGAAAAACTGGAAAAATCTGATCAGATTTTATTATACATTTGTGCAAACAATTGAAGATTCTAGTTCTTTTTTATATGTATGTGATTATTAAAGTCATAGTGTTTGAATATTTGAAGAGCATTTTCACTGCTAATTTTAGATTTCCTTAGCCTGAGTCTTTCCCACTATCTATATTTATCTGTTTGTTTATTACATTGCAGGCCTGCGAAAAGGACCCCCAGTGTGGTGGAGGCATGTGCTGTGCTGTTAGTATCTGGGTTAAGAGCATAAGAATTTGCACACCTATGGGCAAACTGGGAGACAGCTGCCATCCGCTGACTCGTAAAGTTAGTATATATATTTGTATTCATGGTGGTTCTCTTGTGCTGCAATAATTTAACTCCAAGCAAGGTCTATATGACATGAAGGCCAGGGCAATGTGACTGGAATTGAAAGTCAGGAAAGATAACAGTGGAGAAAATACCCCCTGCCTTCTTTCCCCTTCCATTTTCAAAGAACCATATCCTCTACAATCCTTATTCAAGTGATGTAATTTTCATATCATTGTTCTCATGGCATTAGAAACATTATGGAAATAATTTCTTCTAATATATAAATTCACTTAAAAATTATTTAGGACAAAAATATGTGGCATGTTCTAGTATGCTCCTTTGCAAAGATAAAAGTTTTTGAAAAGACTTTTAATATTAGATCTATGTAAGCTTTAGCTTTGTTTTTTGCTTTTGTTTTACCTTTTGTGTTTTTTCAGAAAATCATCTATAGCATAGTCACACTTGTATCTTAATTTTAAAACTCTCTATTTTGATTCTATACCTACAGAATACATGGTTCACATTTTAGAGATTAATGGTATTTAATTTTCCAATTTGCTTTATCACAATGACCTGAAGAACACTTTTGAGAAGTTATTGACAATAAGTGGTATCACAGGGTGACAGGTTTGGACAGGGCATCAGAGGTTGTGTCCCAAGGGTTGCAGACTCACCTGTCCATAGGGATGAGGCAGGCTTATGTTACATCAGGAAGGGGCTGGATGGGAGACAGAAGGGAGCAGAGAAGTGCGTGGAGCTGGAGATTCTTTGCCCTTCAGACTGAAAACTTTTGGAAGGCAGCTGTGTCAACCACTGTCCCATCAACGCATCTATCAGATTAAAAACTTTTGAAACACAGAAGGGGCTCACAAAATCCCCTGGGAATGTGTCATCTTCCTCTAGTCCCACCTTTCATTTCCCCCGCGAGTAAAGTGTGGTCCAGGGGCGTTGAGACAAGCCCTAGCCCAGGTGGCCTGTGGGAGGCAGATTCAGTCTGCAGTGTTCTCTCTATACATTGTACACTTTCATTTTAAAATGGGTTGAAAATGTTCAAAGCACACTGAATTCTATTTTCTACCTTATTTTCACCCATGTGGTTTCAGGTTTAAAACTGTAATAGAGCCAAACAGCTTTCCTATATTCCACAGTCCCAGATAACAGTCAATATTTTGACCTTCTTGGAGTGAACATAATGAAATAAATTGTAGCCTGTTGGTTTAGGGTTAGCTCTGTGAGCTATAATCTGGGTTCCAGTTGTTTAGGCCTCTCTAAAGACTGAATTTGCTTTTGGCTTTCCTGTGGTTACCTTGTGAAATACTTCTTGTTATGTTTAAACCATTCCTCCCCATTGTTTTACCACGCAAGACTATGCTGTAATTTTGTTTTGTTTTATTTTATCTTATTTTATTTTTTTGAGATAAAGTCTCTGTTGCATCATCACAGCTCACTGCAACCTGAAACTCCTGGGCTCAAGTGAACCTCCTACGTCAGCCTCCCAAATAGCTGAGACTACAGACATGCACCTTTATGTCCAGATAATTTTTAAAATTATTATTTTTTGTAGAGACAGGGTCTTACTATGTTGCCCAAGCTAGTCTCAAACTCCTGGCCTCACACAGTGTTCTTGCCTTGATCTTCCAAAGTGCTGGGATTACAGGTGTGAGCCACCACCCCCAGTCTTGTATTGTCATTTTAAAATGTGATATGCACCATTTATTCTTGGACATTTTAAGACAGAAAAAAAGTCTTAAACTGTTAGTCATGCATCTCAGTGCCAAATTTCCATGCAGAAATGGCACTGGCTCAGCCACCTTTGGCATTGATCTCAGATTTATTATCATCTTTATTGAATTGTGAGTCATTCTTTGTACATTTAAGCATTGTCTCTGAAAAGTTTACTTCTAACGTTGTCCTTTAAGAATTGTGTTGTTTTTATACTGCGTTAATATAACTCCATGTACCCTAGAATCATGTAACCTGTTTGTTAAAACAGCAAAGGAAAAGTGACATATTCTGTGGGCCTATTTTTGTGTTAATGATAGTTACCACTTGTTAAATGGTAATGATGTACCAGGCATTCTGTATTTAAATGTTGTGCACGTATTTCTTATTTCATACTCACAACAAGCCTGTGAGGTAGGTTTGTTTAGCCATTAAGCCTCAGAGGGGTTCACCAGCTAGTTGAAGCAGCAAAGGCCTTAAGAGAGGAGACATTGACTTCACTTCTTTCCTATACCCCGTTGTCTATGTAATCTTAATCACTACCCTTTTCTACCTTCATGAAAGCAGTCATTGTGTTTAATTTGAACCCTCCCCCCCCCCATTTTCTTTTTAGTTCAATTAACCAAAACTGTTTTGAGTAGATAACAGAGGCGAAATGGTCACTGTAATAAGAGTTCACACTGGGAATTTGTGTCATACAATAATTTTAATGGGTTTTCTAAATTTGAGATATTTAAAAGGGAACCAAATTCCATTTCCTCAGTTCCTAGATCACTTGAAGTTCAGGTTTAATGCAACATCAATTCTGAAAGTAAACAAAATCAATCTTCTCCCATAAGTACAGATACATCTCCATGATTTTATTTTTATCATGGGTCTAATAATGAGATCTTTAAATAATAGATTATGGTTTTCAATGTAAAATTAAGTGATAAAATAATAGAAGTACTTTTTTTTTATAAGGTTTTATGTCAAATTTTAACTTTCTTCTATTCAGATGTCCACTTGAAATATACTTCTGGAACTTGAGTTTGTAAATTTTCATATTAGCTGCTGTTCTGTCATAAAATACATTTTCAAAGATTATTTGATAACCTATTTTGAGAGTAGATCCTGGAGTTGTTACTTACTTCAGATGAAATTAATCTATCCTGAAAACATTTAGTTTCTTCTAGAACACCTCGCAACTACTGTATATTCTCTTCAAAACAACTCAAGAAAAAACCTTTCACAAATATTTTCTTGTAAACATTGTGGGCAGTATTCAGTTCTGCTTTTAAGTTTTAATGGCTCATCAGTAGATGGTAAAAATACAGACATTATGGAGAAAATTCTTTTTCCATTTTGTTTTGGCTTAGTCATTATTAGCCACCCAAATCTGTTTACTTGGGTGAAATAGGCAGTGTTGAAGGAAACTGATAGCTATAGGTAGGAAGTGATAGCCACTGAGTTTAATTTAGTGTTTTATTTCAATATTAAAATTTATTTTAATTTTAAAACAATAAAATACATAAGTTCAGCTAGGGAGATGGGATGTACATTTTCTAGACATGTTTTAAAGCAAATAATATTTTTAATAGGTATTCATTTTTAATAATTAATTTTTAACACTTAATGAAGAATGACTTATTGAATCATATCTATAGGAAAAACTTTCTGCTTAAGAAAGCCAACATTTTAATATCTACTGATACTTCTCAAAGTTTAAGTATTACAAGATTACCAATTTGCATCTCATTTTGATTAATGTTTGGCTTTGGGAGCTTATACTTGTGTGGTTAATATTAATGTTTTTTTGTCTATTTTGTAAACTTTTTTCTTTCTTTTTATTTTTTTTTTTTGTTTGTTTGTTTTGTTTTTTCTGAAGGCAGGGTCTCCCTCTGTCGCCCATGCAGGACTGCTAAGTGCAGTGTCATCATCATAGCTCACTACAACCTTTAACTGCTGAACTCAAGTGATCCACCTACCTCAGCCTTCTAAGTAGCTGGAACTATACGCACATGTCACCATGCTCAGCTAATTTTTCTATTTTTTTTGAGATGAGATCTTGCTGTGTTGTCCAGGCCAGTCTCAAAATGCTGGTCTCAAGCAGTTCTCTTGCTTCAACCTCTCAAAGTGCCAGGATTATAAGTATATGCCACTGGGCCCAGCTCTACATGTTTTCCATTTAAACAACTATGTTTCTTCCAGAAAAATCTTGTTTTTAAATTTTGCTCTACTTTTTATACAAATAATTTTAACACCAGTTTTCTTTCTTTCTTTTTTTTTTTTAACTTGAAAACTTGACCAGTACATTTTCCTTATCTGAAGGAAAAAACTTTAAATAAAGCCTGGGTCATAGCCAGGCAGGGTGGCTCATGGATATAATTTTAGCACTTTGGGAAGCCAAGGCAAGGGAATTTAAAGCCAGGAGTTTGAGACCAGCCTGGGCAACTCAGTGAGACTCTACTTCTACAAAAAATAAAAAAAAAAATTAGGTAGGCATAGTGGTGTGCACCTGTAGTCCCAACTACTAAGGAGGTTGAAGCAGGAGGATAATTTAAGACCAAGAGCTAAAGACTGTAATAAGCTATGAATTTGCCACTGTACTCCAGCCTGGGCAACAGACCTTGTCTCTTAGAAAAAACCTGGGACTTGTTTGTTTAATAAAAATTGACGATTATCAGTGGTTCTGAGATTTTACAACAAACCTATGATAAAACATTTTAAACATACAGTAGAGCCTCTGTAAGTTTACCACTAAGGGACTGAAACAAACTAGTTAACATTCAAAGGTGGTCAACATAAGGAACTAGGCCAGCTGCACTAATACGTACATGTAGTAAAAATTAGGTCAACTTAAGGAGGTGATCAGTGTAGGGATCTACACTATGGGGGTTCTACTATAATAATTATTTCAGATTGTGAAATTATTAAAATTTTAATATAAAAGTTTTAAATGTTAAAAAGTTATTTTTTTAATTAAAAATATTTCTTGGTCAGGTGCAGTGGCTCACACCTGCAATTCTGGCACTTTGGGAGGCCGAGGTAGGTGGATGGATCACCTGAGCTCAAGGTTTCAAGACCAGCCTGAGCAAGAGTGAGACCCCATCTCTACTAAAAATAGAAAAACTAGACAGGAATTGTGATCAGAGCCTATAGTCCCGGCTACTTGGGAAGTTGAGGCAGGAAGATCTCTTGAGCCCAAAAGTTTGAGCTATGGTGTGAGGTATGGTGTCATGGTACTCTACCAGGGTGACAGAGTAAGACTCTGTTTCAAAAAAAAAAACCAAAATAATTTTTTTTTAATTGTTGGGGATTCATTGAGGGTATAAGAAACCAAGTTATACTGATTGCAATTGTTAGGTAAAGTCCCTCTTACAATTGTGTCTTGCCCCCTAAATGTGTGGCACCCACCAAGACCCCACCCCACCCCCTCCCTCCTTCCCTCTCTTTGCTCCTCCTTTCCTCCACTCCTCCCTCTTTCTTCCTCTCTCTGCTCTCCCCTTCCCCACCCCCACCATGTCATTAATTGTCCTCATATCAGAATTGAATACACAGGATTCATGCTTGTCCACTCTTGTGATGCTTTACTAAGAATAATGTGTTCCACTTCCATCCAGGTTAATACAAAGACTGTAGAGTCTCCATTTTTTTAATGGCTGAATAGTATTCCATGGTGTACATATACCACAGTTTGTTAATCCATTCCTAGGTTGGTGGGCATTTAGGCTGTTTCTACATTTTGGCAATTGTAAATTGAGCTGCAATAAACAGTCTAGTGCAAGTGTCCTTATGATAAAAGGATTTTTTTCCTTCCAGGTAGATGCCCAGTAATGGGATTGCAGGATCAAATGGGAGGTCTAGCTTGAGTTCTTTGAGGGTTCTTATTACTGCCTTCCAAAAAGGTTTTATTAGTTTGCAGTCCCACCAGCAGTGTAAAAGTGTTCCCTTCTCTCCACATCCATGACAGCATTTGTAGTTTTGAGAGTTTGTGTTGTGGGCCATTCTCGCTGGGGTTAGATGGTATCTCAGGGTGGTTTTGATTTGCATTTCTCTAATAATTAGGGATGATGAGCATTTTTTCATATGTTTGTTAGCCATTGTCTGTCTTCTTTAGAGAAGGTTTACTCATGTCTCTTGCCCACTGACCAAAATAATTTCTTAAATAGTAAAATATAACTGATGTAACTTAATAAATTAATAACAGATGGGTAAAGGAAAGCAAAGTATGCTAATCCCCTCATCTCTCCTATCACAATGTCAGGAGCCACTATCTACCTTGATTTCTTCAGAGCTGTGGTTACAGGTTCAAATCAACAAAGACACTCACAAAGCATAAATATGCTTTAGTCTAATGCAAGTTTTCTCAACTTTAGCACTGTATGTCCTTTGCCCAGTCTTTCCTGATAACATCTTGCAAAACTGTAGTACAATGTTACAGGCAGGATGCTGACATCAGTGCAGACAAGATACAGAACATTTCCATCATTACAAGTGTCCCGCACATGGCCCTTTTATAAGTGCTATTTTGTTTTTAAAAGCAACTACAAGTGAATAAGAATTATGCTTTTTCAAAAGTGCTGGATATTCTGAATTGGTAACATCTAGTATTTGCTGTTTGGAATTCTAGGCTATTTGAGACTTTGGATTGAGTGGTATTTGGACTAAATGGTTCCAGTCTGCATCTTCTGTGAGCTCTTCCTCACACAGTGTATAGAGATAGATCTTAGGAGTTAGTGGGATAGTAAAGGAATTGGCAAGCATATACTGAGTGTGTAGTATCAGTAATCACAGTTTTTGTCATTAGGTCCTCATAGGTATGAGGGGAGAAAGGGACATTCTCGTAGAGCTGGGGGCAGTTATAGTCTCTAGGGAGGGAGGGAGAAATGAACTGAGTTTGAATGAGAAAAGGAGATCCAGGTATTAGGGGCCTGCAGTGCAGTCTGATCATCATGTAAAGTTGGCCGAGGCAGATCCAGATTGGTGCATATACCATCTTGGTGCCTTTGATAAGAAAAGGAATACAAGGAGATCTTCAAGAAGTTTCCCAGAAGTATCTGACCTTGGGAACACATTGCCAGGCGCCTCCCAGGTCCTAGAGGGTCCTGTGCAGGTGAGGGCCTTCAGCTTCTTTGGCTTCATGGTAAATCTATCTATAATCCATCTCTGAGTTTGGTGGTATGAATCGCACTGGGCAGCCTCAGTGCCAGGCATGTGTAGGGTGGTGAGGAGGCTACAGGACCTGTGATGATCATCCGGTCCTCCATTGGCCTTGGTCTATGCAAGGGTGAGGAGTGCAGGCCGGGCAGTGGTAGGCATTTAGCTAATGTCTCTGTGAGCATCTTCTATGTGTTATAGCAGCCTATGAGTCATGTTCTCATAAATAGAACAGATACAGGTTCCTCTTCAAAGAGCCTGGAGTCTGGGCATGGTAGTTTTTAAGAAGCAAAATCTAGAAGAAATCAGGGCCAGTTTGACCACCAGAACTAATTCTTTCTAGCTGAGTGACCTCACTTGGACGCATCACTTCTTAAGAAAAAGCTACTCAGGGTAGGACGCCAGCCCCATATATGGAGGATGGTGGGTTCAAACCCAGCCCCAGCCAAACTGCAACAAAAATAATAGCCAGGCATTGCGGCAGGCACCTATAGTCCCAGCTACTCAGGAGGCTGAGGCAAGAGAATCAGCTAAGCCCAGGACCTGGAGGTTGCTGTGAGCTGTGACACCATGGCACTCTACCATGGGTGATAAAGTGAGACTCTGTCTCTAAAAAATAAATAAAAATAAACATTTTAAAAAGAAGAAGAAGAAAATGAAGCCACTCAGCTTGTCTCAAAACAGGATGGATAATCTGGCAGGCAGATTTGGGGTGACCTTGACATGTGATACCTTCGGAGGCCCAATTCGTGGCATCAGTCTTGGTTCTTTTGTTCTCTTGCTGTTTTCAGGGTGCCGACAGCCCCAGGTGACAGGCCAGAGAGTGATCACGGGGTCGTGATGCATACAGCACAAAACCCGAGGCCTGTGAGGGCGCTTGTGTGTAGCTGGCACTGTCTCACTGGGTATCTGCCTTTCATTCCTGACATGTAAGATCTGTGATGATGAGGAGCCCCCTGTTTTGTTCATTGCTGTATCCTCAGCACTGGAAATAGGTGGCACTTAACAGATAATCTGTTGAATGAGTGAATGGAAGAAACAAACTTGGTGGTTTCCATTTATAACAGTTTGACATGTTTATTATGGGCACATATTATTTATTTCAGTGTCATTTTCCTTGGATAATTGGTGCCTGTGACATTTTTTCCTCAACCTCAGCACTGCCAGCATTTTGAGCTGGATAATTCTTTGTTATGAGGGGCTGTCCTTTACGTTGTGGGATGTTTAGCAGCACGCTCGGCCTTAACCCACTATGTGGGACTAGACACCTCCTGCCCCCAGTTTGACAAACAGAAACTGTCTCCAGACACTGCCAAATGTCCCCCAGGCAGAGTCACCCTAGGTGAGAACCGCTGGCCTGTGCAGTGGTTTTAGGCATGGTGAAAAGAACCTCTTCAAACCTCCGGGTCAGAATGGATTATAAAGGTCATTGATCATCACTTCTGATGCTATCCAGTTACAATAGTCTGAGCCCATCCGGCAGCACCCGTCTCCTCTGATGTGTTCTAGGTGGCAGCAGAGGAGCCAGCCCTTTGTGTTCTCCTCCGACTCACACAGTGACAGAACCATTCTGAGCACAGGTCTACGTTAAGCTAATGGCCAACAGGCCTGTACATAGACACTGCCACAGTATGAGAGGGCCAGGGGAGCTGGGGTGGCTCGGCTGTACCTTGCGCTGCCTGTCCACCACGCCCACACCCTGCCCTCCTGTTGCTTCTCTTTCTTCCTTTTGTCCTTATTGATCTCGGTCATTTCCCTGGCCCTTCCAGAACCAATTTGGAAAGGGAAGGCAGGAAAGAAGAAAGAGGAAGAGAAGAAAAAGGAAAAAGGAGGTAAGAAGAATGTGAGCATGATACCACCGAGAGATACACCTGGAATAGTTAGTCTTTACGTGGTTGGACTATTATAGAATTGGGTGTATCCTACCAGTTCACCCCCAATAGTGTTAGAATGGTTCTGCCACTGTCTACACACAGGCCTTTAAAAATATGTACATAGTGAAATCTATCTAAAGGCATCTGGAAGAGGGACCTCCGATTTTCTCATAAGGCTAGGTCATTGGTGTGGGGTGGCCTCTTTTGGTACAGTAGAATAGGAAATGCCCTAGAATGATGTTGAATAAAGCATTTGAGTTTGGAAGCAGGAAGAATGTATTTTCTGCCATGTGTAAACCATGGAAGGATCTCTGAGGCATGAGTCTATAGCAGCTCGCAGGTCCCACGGTAGCCTGCACCATGGTCCTTACCATCCCATTTCACTGGCTATAGTACGTCTACAGGTCTGGGGTTAAACTTGCTGGACGTAACTTACAAGACAGGCAGAGTCTCAAGAAGGCACCATTCCCAGGGGATAGAAAACAATTTTTGGCTTTCTTTGTGTTTTGTGTACTCCGCTTGCCGCCGGCACAGAGAGCCAGCACACTAGTGGCTGGACAATCCTCCTCAACCCGGCTTCACTGGCGGTGTGGGGTGGGTTCTTAGTGTGACTCTGAGAACGAAGCAGACCTTTCGCTGCTGAGTCTCTATAGGCCAGGGTCAGGTTTGTTCCTTCTATGCAAATTGAGCTTGCCTCCTTCCCTGATTCCACTCTATTCCTTTTTTAATTTTTTCCCAGCATTTTGACTTCTGACATCTGTGTGCAAATGTATGAATTGTTATACATTGCTTATTGATTGTAAGTTTATATTTGCTCATTACATAGATGTGTTTGAGCCTATGACACCACGTTTTTAAGGAACTTGAATAGCAGAACACCATAAAAAGCAATAAAATGAGCAAGCGTAAAAGGTAGGAGAGCTCAGTGACTAAAAACGTGGTCTCTCTGCTCAGGCGGCAAGCCAAACCTCAAGCTTTAGATACGTGACCTTGGACAATGTGCTTATCTCTCTATTCCTCCTTCTCTCATCTGTAAACTGAGTGCAAAGTATTTGCCATCTCTCCAAGGTGATTGTAAGGTTGGGAAGGGATAATATACAAAAAGTGCAGAGTGTATTGTCTAATGGGAGTTAAATCTCAATAAACTGCAGTTATTGTTACTTAAAGACGTATGTCGAGAATGGTTTGGTTCGGTTTTCAAACATTTCCTGCTCTGACTCCCTTTTCTTTTTTATTCAGGTTCCGTTTTTCGGGCGGAGAATGCACCACACCTGTCCATGTCTGCCAGGCTTGGCCTGTTTACGGACTTCATTTAACCGATACATTTGTTTAGCCCGAAAGTGATCATGTCAGAGTAGAAACTTTGAGTGTGAATAGCCACGTTGATGTCTGTAAAATCTCCCTTGTGATTGTGCCAAACAAATATTTAATAATATGCCAGAAAGAAATGCTCTTGCTTTCTCAACTTTCTAAGTAACCTTTTTATCTTTGATTTTAAAATGATGGTTGGTTTGTTGTTTTCTTTTCTTTTTTTCTTTCCTGAAAGGGAACTTTAATTTTGGATAGAAATATAAAGTAGAAGCCATAATGGAACTGGTTCTCATTTCCCTGTTTGCATTTTGGTCTGGTTTGGCTTTTTTTATGTCAACAACTTACCCATTTTCACAAAAATGAGGAACATGAGAATTTGATATTTTGTTACAGAAATATTTTTTTCTCCCCCCTCCCCAGCCCCACCCCTATCTGTGCCCCAAGACACATCCACACACATTTGGTCTCTTCCCTAATATTCCTCGAGGAATTATAAAGCCCTCACTTAATTCTCTGGTTCCCGTCTCTCCTCTCTGGCATTTAAAAGCAGAGGGTCTGTGCCCTTTAGCTTGCTGGCAGAATCACTGACAAGAATTCAGCTTTTAGCCTGATCCTTAGACAGTGAACAGAGTGGATAGTTGAACTAGGCATGCCAGGTTCCTCTCCTGGGGTGGAGACTAGGTGTACTTCTGGGACTTAGCTAAACTCATCCACCCAGTGGACTCCAGCTCTGCTTTTTTGGTGAGAGGACACAGGAATGGAAAGCCAAATTAATTGAGTCCAGATTTCTAGATTGGGGACAGGGAGCTCTGAATAGAAGACTTCTTTTCCAAGACAATATTTATTCTTTTTTTCTTTTTATAAAGTTTGTTTTTCAAAAATAAAACACCCTCCTATTTGGAGATGTTCTAGGATGTGTTCACTTGAAGAGGAAGGATTGATTTTAATCTGGCATACCACGAGTTATCATTTTTAAATCAATATTAAATTATAATTTATACTTTATCTGTAACTGAAAAGTCAACGATAATATAATGGATTGTCTGACATCCTGCCGTTTGTACTTGTACCAGTATTGCTGTGTAAAAATTCTGTATCAGAATAATGACGGTACTGTATATCACTTGATTTATTTTAATATTATATCCTTATTTTTGTCACGCTCGTTGTCATTGTTTTATTACAAGCAGATTTGTACATAAGCCACATCCTAACGTGGGTAAAGATTGCAAAGTTGGTAAAACAGCCCTAACAATATGTGCATTTTCATTTCACATACAGGAAAGTTCTGTTTACATGGATTTTAAGGTTGTACAAAAGGTAAACAATGTGAGGTTTTAGAGCATGACGGGAAATCATGACATATAAAACTGACTGTAATCAGGGATGGACTTGTGGGATTTCACTGTATTGATTCAGCAGATAGTGATGGAGTGTGTATCCTTCGTGGGAAATCAGGGTGCTAGCCTGGTAGGTGCTAGCCGTACAGTGATGCCAATGGAGACTGGCCTTGAAAAACCCACCAACTGTTGTAAATGGATTCAATATCACAAATAAACAACTTAAGAAATGTGTTTAACTGACTAAACTTGCCAATGTCAACCCACCAACCATTTAAAAAAAAAAAAACAGTCCATTTTGTACTTATTTACCCAGTCAGGGTTTATAATTGCACACTGTGTATAATTTTACCCCTTGAGCTAACATGTCCCAAAAATGTATGGGATTTTGCTGTACTAATTACTGTACTTGGTTAGAGAAGTTATTATTTTTGGTTCAGTTTAGCTGAAACAGTCCTTAATGAGTTTGTTGAAAAAAATTCGACTTCAACAAGTGGAATTATGAGTAAAGAAGCAGACACTAGGAGATTTTGCTAAATTTGTTTTCTGTTTGTTTGTTTGGTTGGCTTTTTTCTTTTTTTGAGATAGAGTCTCAGGCTGTCACCCTGGGTAGAGTGTTATGGCTCACAGGTCACAGCAACCTCAAACTCTTGGGCTTAAGTGAGTCTCTTGCCTCAGCCTCCCAAGTAACTGGGACCACCGGCGCCCTCCACAATGCCCAGCTATTTTTTTGTTGCAGTTGTCATTGTTGTTTTAGCTGGCCCAGGCCGGGTTTGAACCTGCCAGCCTCGTTGTATGTGGCCAGCCCCCTACCCACTGAGCTACGGGAACCACCCTACATTTGTTTTTGTGTGACGTTCAAGACATTCTTTTCCCTAAGTGGTAAAAACTTAATTAGGCCAATCATTCATTTTCACTGATGTTAAAAAACATAACCAACTTTTGTACAATTTTGCTTTTACATACGCAAACCAAGTTTTTAAAAAATTGCTACCTAAAAAGGTGGACTACATGCACACAGCCAAGAAAACAAATGTGAAGTTTGTGTACTTAAGAACTGGACCCTTTGACTGGTTGCTATCCAAAAAAAAAAAAAAAAAAGCAGAACTTAGTTGTTCGCTCCCTTTTCCCTTGGTGGTTATTTTAGTGTATAGTTCTATTTGGTGATTACTTTTTAACTTATTTCCAGGATTAACACCTTGTAAATAATTGTTTCAAAAAACTTGTAATCATGCTTTTCGGAGATTTCTTAAAGCAATTTTGTGCAAAGCATATGAAGTCTTCCACTATAAAGGCTACAGCTGCTGTGTCTTCCATCTCCCAGAATGGTCTCACACAGGTGTTGAGACTTCATAGACCTGGATTTCTGCACGGCAAAAGCAAGGTGGTAATTTACACAAGAAGAAGTAAGTCAACAGTGTATGTTGATAAATGACAGTATCATGAATAAATTCTGTGCATTCTAAGATAGAAATAGATCTTATGCCAAAAGATCATGGCCCACCCCACTCAAGCGGACTGTTGGATTTCTTTGCAAACATCAAGTTCCATGGAAAGTGTCATTTCTGACTTTGTTTATCCTTTGTTAAAAGCAACATTATTATTATTTTTTACCGTAGAAAAGTTTATGCCCAAACTACTTCCTTGCAAACCTTCCTATCTCACTGAGGAGCTTCCTTCATCCTTCTCAACATGGCTCTTCTGTTAGAGCCTTACAAAGTCAGCCCAGGGGGAGCAAACACAGAAGCCAATTTTCCTCCTCATTGGTTTTAAGACCAGAAATCTCATCCCACTCTTTCTAGCTCATTTTTTTAGAAAATTAAAGTTGGGGGCCATTTTAATTTTAAAAGCAGGACATTTTCGGTATTCAGTGAGAGTCACTGCGAAATTCCTTGAGCACCTTTTGTGTGATCTTTGCCTGTGCGTTGCTGTTAATTCTCAGCGCTCCCTTCTGCATTAAAGAGAACTGTATTTATTTCAGTATTCTCAAATTTTTAAATTGACAAATAAAAGTTGTATATATTTATAGTGTATAACATGATGCTCTGAAGTATGTATACATTGTGGAATGGCTAAGTTGAGCTGATTACCGTACATGTTACCTCACATACTTAAAATTTTTTGTAGTAAGGATGCTTAAAACTCTCGGTGATTTTCAAGTACATAGTATTGACTACAGCCACCATGGTGTAGGGTGGATCTCCAGAAATTGTCAATGGATTCTAAAGAGGACAGTTTTTAACAATATGATCTTCAAATAAACTATATCTATATATTATGTATCTATAGAGATAGATATATAGGTGGAGGAATAAAGATCTATATGGCAGGGTATCTGTATGTGTATATGTGTATATGTATGGCATATATATTTCAGAGTAATTTCAGAATACACCTAAAATTAGAGGTGTAATTATTATACTGTTCCATTTTTTTTTATTACCCATCAAAGGTTCTGATTTGATTTGTCTGGAACAAGGCCCAGGTATTCAGGTGTTGGGATTTTTTTTAAGCTCCCTGATTAATTCTGAGGTTCGTCCATGATTGAGAGCCACTGAGACCACATGAAGGACTATCCTTCTATGGAAACGTTACTGCTACACTGTGACACTATTTGATGAGCATATTTCTAGTTGAATTAGACGTGAGACGAGTGACTAGGTATCTTTGTCTTTTCTTGCCACCCTAAAAAATTTCCATGGTCTGCAGCACAAATGATTCCATTTCCTTTCATTTTAGAGGGAAACAGAAGTGTTCCAATTGAGAATTTCTGTGGCTGTTACATAGTCTATTTGAAGAAGCCATCCAAAGTTTCCTGGAAGTAGGGAGGGAAGCAGGCCACTCCAGCCTAGCTGGCCCCACAGCTCCCCTGGTTTCGAGAGCTTTTGCATCCTCAAGTGCATCCTCCAGGTGACCTTGCTTCTGACCTCCCCAGCAGGTACTCCCTGCTCCCAGCCTCTTCCCCATAGAGTCTTAAGGTTTCATTCTATTTTATTGGATCCATAGATCATCATAATGCTTTAAAATGTCCAAGGTTGCACAATATTGTAGTTGAATAAATCAGACTAGTAAGCATTGCAATAAAGCATTTCATTAATGTGACAAAAGATTAAAAGCAAGAAAATGGGAAATTGTGGGCAACACGATAACACAATTACTGGCAGCCAAATGCACAGGGCGATTACATCACGTGCACACTGAGTACAGACTCTGTGTCCACAAGGAGATTCCCTTGTCATGGAGCCTGACCCACTCATGCAGTTGTGCCAGCCAGGCAAAATGACAGCCTGCCCCATGGAGTGACAACTGTGGTGCATAGTTGCAGGCACTCTCCCATGTTAGTCCAGGATTTCTCAACCTCAACACTAGTGACTTTCTGGGCCATATAATTTTTGTTGTAGAGGGCGCCCCTGTGCATTGTGGAATATTTAGCAGACAGAAGCATCTCTGTAGTACAGTGTTAATTACATACCAGTAACACTCTCCCCGTGTGACAACCAAAAATGTCTCTAGACATTGCCAAACATCCTCCGGGGATTGTAGATGGAGATAAACTGTTTAGTCTGAAGTTTTTTGTATGTGTGTCTGCGTGACGTTGTTTAACAAGTTTTTATGGCAGTATCAAAAATTGAAAAGACAATATTTTAAAAATTACCCCCCAACTGGGACTTTGCAAAATCAATATCCTAAAAAAAATTGTATCCAAAGTACTAGAGAAGTAAACATTTGATATGGTTTATATATTCAGTCAAAGAAATATCAGTTACCTGTTAACGCTAGAGTT